GTGGATTCAGTGGTTCTCATATGGAGTGCTGAGGAAAGGGCTCATATGTTATCTTTACTCGGTCAGGTGCCAGATAGGTTAACTGGGACAGATATATGGAAATGGGTTACAACAGAGTTGAACAAAGAAAGCTACACAAGCCACCATTTCAACCGGGATAGGACCTTGGTCTGATCCTTCTTTTGCAAGGTTGAACTCTCATGCCTTTGACCAACTGTATTACAATTGCTAACTTGTGATTTTTTGATAACCCAACAGCTATCAAATGAAATAACAGCCATTGATACCCTTATCAAAGAATCTAGTCAAGTCACATTTGATTCGATTCTACAAAAGATCAGGGCTCCACCTCAAATGTTTGAAAAGTTCACCCGCCGTGGAAGGTATGATAGCGGTTACAAAAGCATTATCAGATCCAATTGGGGAACAAAGAAATTCCCATATTATCAAATTGTTAAAGACATTCACTTAAAATTTAAACAATGTTCCCAGGGACCCTGTGCATAGTGAGCTGTGAATTGATCCCATGCTGTTTTGCCTTGGCCCTCCTGCCCAGTTGCTTCCTTTGGGTCTTTCTATGCAGATAAGCCTTTTGGATCTGCATGTCCACCGGATGTATTGCCATCAGTAGTACGGCAATTCATACACAGTTTAGTACAAGATTCCATTCCAGCATCACAGCAATTGAATGCACCCAGGTGTAGCAATCAGGCAGAAACCAGTGGCAATAGGATAAGAAGTATTGCACATCCATAATACAGCAAAGCAATCATGGGTTCAGTTTTTTTGTACAATCAACATTAGAGTCACAAACAAGTTTGGTTGGAAGGTCAGAATAAGGAAAAGGAGTCAGCCTTTTGACCATTGGCTATGGCTGATCTTCCAAATGAGTAAAACCCATTCCTTTGATCTTATGTACAGCTGGTGTCTCAAGACTACCATACAGTATAGCAGTAGTGGGATTTTCAGGTGTTCAAGGTCAAATGTGGTCCACTCTGCTGAATCATATTCATCACCTGTGAACCCTGACATGTCACACCTCACCAACCCCGTAATACAATCTTTCTTATTTCTTACTCATCTTCAGTCACTTATAAATAACAAGAGATGAATCACAAAACAGTTTCAAAGGCTTGCATGCATTGCAACTAAAAGACTGGAACACAGTTTTGCTGCAACTCTTTCTCTGCTTCTCTTGCAAATGCATAGACACTGGAGGCTGAAAAGGGGGGCTCAAAGGGAATTGGAGAGGCACTGTTTAATGGTTTGAAGGCTATCTCAAGGATTCAATTCTCAATCATAAATGAGGCAAGCTCGGAAACACAGATGGTTTTCTGAAGACAAGACAGAACAGTTTGATGTCTTGAAATGGCTCTGAACCGTTCAAGATTGATGGAACAAGGCACTTCTCACACAAAGAGTCAGCAGACACCAGGAGGCATGTAAACGAAAGCATTAGAGGCTACCAAGACAAGACAGAACAGTCCGATGTCTTCAAATGGCTCTGAACGCACTCTGTTCAAGATGACAAGGCACTTCTCACACTAAACAGTCAACAAGCGACTGGCAAAGAGTTGGCAGACACCAGGAGGCATGTAAGCGAAAGCATTAGAGGCTACCAAGACAAGATAGAACAGTCCGATGTCTTGAAATGGCTCTGAACGCACTCGGTTCAAGATTGATGGGACAAGGCACTTCTCACAATGGACAGTCAACGAACGACTGGCACACGCGAGGAGTCGGCAGACACCAAGTAGCATGTAAGCGAAAGCATTAGAGGCTACCTCATGAGGTGGATTGCTCCAAGTAGTTAACGATGGACAAGAGGGGGGAAAGCAAAGAAGTAGTACTAGGCGATTGAGAGAACATAAATGAGATGATGAGATCGATCAACATGTTCGGGGTACAACTGATCAGGCCTTGTAACCACCACCATTGCCATCGCTCGAGTGAAATTCCCCCTTGTATGACCCCTGGCCTTCGTATTGGTATTTGCCGTCATAATAAATATCTTCGGGCTCATTTCCATCTTTGAAGCCCCCATCATCCGAGTGATGTTGGCCCGAATATCGGCCCTTGGCGTCGTATTGGTATTTGCCGTTATAATAAAGATTGCCGCCGTCAGATTTTTCACCGCCCGAGCCACCCCTCCCGCCGCCAAACCCATCTCCGCCCGAGCTCTCCTTCCCGCCGCCGAAGCCCTGTCCGTCCGAGCTACCCTTCCCTCCGTCAAATTTGTCTCCGCCCTGGTTTTCCCCCGCCCCTTTACCGTAGCCGTCGGAGCCCCGTCGAGACAAGCGGTGATATTGCTCTCCCCAGTGTCCTTTCTCACCATAGTAGCCTTCCTTCTCGTAATATCCTTCGTGATCGTACTTCTTGTCGTCTTTGGGATAATATTCATCTTCGTCATCGTACTTCGGGTGTTTTTTCTTCTTCTTGTAATGCTTCTCGTCATCATCATCTTCTTTGACGATGTAGACTTTCTTCTTTTCGTAATCGTCATCATCATCCTTCTTCTTCTTGAGGAAGTCGAAGCAGGATCGACGATCGAGCGAGCCACTTCGGAGGCTGCCAACCGAGAGAAAAAGATCACCCTGGATTAGAACCCAATTCACAAGCCAACATCAGTTGCAGAGAAGCACTTGACTTACGTTTTGATGTTACTAGACGCGTCCCGAGCGGCTAAACAGGTGGCCGAGGTGAGGGCAGGGGCTTCGGCTGTTTATGTCAAACACGAGTGAGTGTCAGCTTTCTTGAACGTATTCATCGATTGGACTGAATGAAATTCTGGGGAGATTAAGACTGACCCAAGAACAGCCCGGCGGCAAGAGTGAGCGCGATGCAAAGCTTCATTATGGGCAGGAGCTATCCGAGCTGTGCGAAGAAGGGTGGGGCAGGTGTGGCACGAAGAAAGGGTTAGCTAGAGCCTAAGCGAGTCGTAGTTCTTTCTCGTTTCCGTCAAAAGGATAGACGACTTACATTTTGTGTTATACTTGAAACTGTAAGGAAAGATTTTTGAAGTCGAGTCTTTGGTTGTCCGCTGGTTGAGATACCTGAGAGGGCTGGAGACGGAATTGGGCGCCATCAAGCAGCCGTTTAAATATTATAACTGAGTCCTGTGGCATCAGGGATCGTGGCCTGGAGGTCTGCTTTGCCCTCGTTGTCGTTGGTCCACAATCCTGGAGATACCGTCGAGTGGTCGATTCTAGTCATAGAGTAGAACTCCTCTAGCTGGTTCCAAGGTTCGAATAGTCCAGAGCCGTCTTGCGGCCTCATCTTCTACGCAGAGTCGGCCTTTTCGCTCTTCATCCTTAATGAGACTTTGGACACCCTGTGGCATTACGCAGGGCATGTATCTTCATTCAGCATCTTTGCCGGCTTCGATTACTGAATACAAACACCCCAAAAAATGACCTTCACATTTGAAATGAGGATTTCGAATGTAGTCGTAAGCAAGAGGCGTGATGGTACTGAGGATCTTCACGATGAGCTGCAGTTGAGTTTCAGCGCAGATTCACCTTTTCCTCCAAACGTTATATATGTCTTGAATGTTGCTTTCGCATCAACCTGTGCGAATATGTGTTGGAGAAAGTCAAAATGCAATCAAAGTTGAATCCAAGAGCAACCAAAACTACTAACACGCATGCATGACTCGTCTGTACGAGTGTCCTGATCGATCCTATGACGCAGTCGTGGAAACGATACATCCATAAAAACATGTTTCGACAGGTTTCCAAGGGATAGGGGAAATTAAGCTGAATGCCGATGTGGTCATCAGAAAAGGCAAGCAGCGCGCATTAGCAGAAAGAGCAGAAAATTCGATTAGTTGGATTCTCAAGCTGACCTAACGCGAATCTTGAACGATGTCTTGGAAGGATCTGCTTCGAGTTTCAGTTGGGTTGGAATTGGATCTATGTATTTGTCAAGGTTCAAGCAAAAACACTTCTTGAAGAGTTGGTCGAGTCGAACGTCTGAACTGGCTGACCGATGGAAGAATGTTGCAGTTAACCAAACTGAAAATCTCTAGCCACCTTCATAAAAAGGAGATCCTCACTTCCACATTGCATGCATTCAGACTGGGCCCTGGATGCACGTTGATGTTGACCTCGCATATGCGCTCCGACTTTGTCTGCCGACTCGGCTCGTATGTAGACATTGCAGATTGACCAGCGGGGGACCCTGAGATCATACAGCCATCAGCTCAATCTGAAACGAAGAAAGTAGACATAGTTGACTCTTTCAGTATAGTGCGTATTGGTCTTTTGGGGCCCTTGAAATCTCCTTCCCCAGGCGTACCCGATCACCGTCCGGTTGTGGCGAGCTTCGCTTGCCCGCCAGAACCGGTGAGCACCGTGAGCGGATGGCCGGTAAGCTGGAAGATGGAAAATAGAGAAATCTTCCAAGTTGGCAAGATTTGTAGGCCCCGTTGGGAGCATAACCTTTGAACTTGATGAGTCGGATTAGAAACAGGCCTCATAAAGACTGGCAAAAATTGTTCTACGAGGTCCGGAATCATGGTAATTTAGATTCACTAGGGCAAGACGAGTGTTGGTTAGTACATAAGCTCCATAGGAATCCGTCTGGTTCCCCCACTGGAAGTGATTGTGGTGATGCTATGAAGTTTCACAAGAAATCTTTGCCTATTCTTTTCGTTTATATATAAAGGCAATACATTAATGGTCAAGTTCACTTGCCCTTGAACTTGAAGAAAGATTAATCTGCTTATACTTCTGACCGATGCCGGAGTAGAGATATTGATCGGAACTTGTATTCTCATATATTTTAAGTTTGTATAATTCATGGGGTCAGTATCTGTCTCCGGCTGGCACTTGAGTCCAATAATCCGAAGAAAAAAGGATGGGAAAGTTATAAAAAAAACTGGTGTATTGTGATTTCTTTTTGTTTATGGTTTGCGTACGATGAGCAAAAACTGAGTTGGGCCGTATTATAACTACGTTCAACAAAAAAAAACAGTCAAGAGAAGACAAGACCGAAGGAAATAGATCATGTGGAAGTGAAACTTTTGAGCGGGTTTTTCTTTTTACCACCTCTACCACCACCACCACGACCCCCACGACCCCCACGGCTTCCACCGCGGGATTTGCCATTGAGCTGTTGGCGAGCCCGATTAGGATTTTTGTTGAACGAAGTCTTTAAGCTCGGTTGAGTGGTTGCAGGATCCGGATTAGAAGAGCCTTGATTCGAATCTTGGGGTTGGTCCTGTTGACGGATGGGAAGGTTGGTGATCTTGGGGATCAAATATGACGGCACATGCTTCATGTGTGGCTGGATCCTTGTCGGATGTAAGGGCTTGTCGTGTTTTAGGAACATCAAGTCGTTCGGATTTTCTTCAAAGTGAGACTACAAAAATACGCCAAGTAAGAAATCATCTAGCAGCTTAACAAGATGTTCCGTGAATTTGGGATCTAGAAGTCGCACATACCTTCAGTTTAGTTGAATTCAAGATCTCGTTTTTAATCTCTTTAATCCGCGCCTCCCGAATGGCTGCTTTGGTGACCGACCGTAAGCCGTCCTCCATTCGATATCGGAAACCTTCGACTTGAGTCATATCAAATTTGTATTCCTTAGGGATCGAGCCTCTTGTAATCTGCTCAGCTTCGATCTTCTTCCACATCTCAGTCTCTCTAGCGCAGGTTTCTTGAAGGTTTTTACTTGTTTTGTTCGAGCTTGGCTCCATCCGTGCGGTCGAAAGAACAAACGACAAGCCGATCCCGGTTCTTCCTGCTCGAGCGGTACGTCCAATTCGATGTGTATAACTTTGCGTCGAAAGCGGCAAGTCAAAGTTGATAACACATGCCACATTCACAAAGTCTATCCCCCGCGAGACTCCGTAGTCTATGGGCTTATCCTGGGACTTGTCGTCTCTATTTTTTCGTTTCTTCGGGTTGGTTACAACATTGTCTGTTGTTTCCTCGGCTACCGATGGTTGAGTAGGGATCACTATGGAATGGAAGAGAAGCATAAGTTATTCCATCGGTTGGGCGTAGATCTGGGTATAAGCTTACAATTTGGGTCGGTCGGAGCAGGTGTCGGGTTGGAGGCTTTCTTCTCAATCGGGAGGTTATTTTCGCTCTCGTCTGTGGCAATCAGATAGTCGAAGATACCTTTATTGAACTCCTCCACGGCATGGTAGCGCGAGTTGAACGGAAGCTCGGAATTCAGAACGCCTGAGCGGATCCCAAACTTCTCCAAGAACAACTTGAGTTGATAAGACTTGTCGGTCGAGTTAACGAAAACTAGCCCCTTCCCCTTGATCAGCTTTAATCGGAAGATCACGTAGATCAGTAAGAATTTGTCCTGTTCATTTGGAACTTTGATCGAAAATTGGGTCAGGTTGGACAATTCATTAATCGATTCCTTAACGTAGAGGATCTCCGGGTTACGTAAGACTAGACTCTTCAGTTCGGCCACTTCGCTCGTCATGGTTGCCGACATGAGAAAGCTTTGAAAGAAAGTAGGAAATCTCCATGAATGAGTCCCACTACTTCCACTGCCTGATAGAATCGCCTTGATATCGTCAAAGGAGTGACCATAGGAAAGTATCAGGTCGGCTTCATCCAGAACGAGGAAAGATAGTCCAGACATGTCGGTTGGTGTCGTCCGTAGTCTATCCAATAATCTAGCGGGAGTGGAGACTATGATGTCGGGTGGATTACTCGTGTAAGATCTAAGTTTGAAGGATTAATAAAAGGAAAGTCCCATCAGATTTATTCTTTGCAAGCCTAGATAATCAACCCAAAATGGAACCAGAGAGAGAAAAGAGATCTTTCTGGTCATGGAAGGACATAAAATCAACGCACTGATCAACTTGAGCGTGTTTCCTTTTCGATCGCTTTGAATCTGAGCTGGCCAGGTTGATGATTTCAATGGCGTTCTCGTTTCCTAAACCCTTACAAAGACTAGATATGGCCAGGGTGACTTGAGCACTGAGCTCGCGAGTGGGTACCAGTATAACAGCCATTGTGAGTGTTGTTAGTGCCGTCGTGGTGGAAGTGCGTCGCTTGAATTTATTTTCCAAGATGCTCTGGAGGATAGGGATCGCATAGGCCAACGTTTTACCCGATCCAGTGCTAGAACGAGCCAGGATATCTTTGCCATTGAGGGCCAGTGGGATGAATTCTTTTTGGACTTGAGTTGGATAGCAGAGTGATAGAGCAGATAGGGCCGATAGCAGGGCAGGGTTGATGGGTGGATCCAATTGAGCAAATGATGTTCGGTTCTGACTTTCTGATTTGCCGCCGACATCTGACGAGCTTCCTTGGACGGACATGGTCAAGAGATCGTATCGCCAAGCAAAATTTGATCAAGTCGCGATCGATGAGAGGCGTTCTGGACAACAAATTCTGAATCAGTCAGTCACGTGTTGTTAATGTGATGCCGAAATACATGAAGCATTGAACTCACCTGTGTTGTTGTCGGGGGTCGTCTTTTGGTTGCATGCAGACCAAGAAGAAAAATTTTGTGGTTCTTTCCTGGGAGGACCCCGGACAGCAAATTGAATATTCAATGTGAGCCAATCAACCTGGGAAAGCCCTGTGAAACTCTTGATCAACACCCTCAAAACCAAAACCCAGGCCAAAGAGGAAAACTTCCAAGCACAACAAGAATTAAACCAAGAAGGTTTGATACTAGGACATTTTTTTGGATTTCTGCTTGGACTACCAATCAAATACACTGCCTTTGCCATCCAGTTTTGAATGTGAAGAGACTTATAGAGAAGCAGCATGTGGAGAGTGTGATGAGTTACCAGCAAGATGACTTCATTTTGTGGAGAAACAGAAAGGAACAAAAGAGTTACCTAGAGAAGTGGCACATCAAGGATGTGATTGGTTTGTGGAAAAGCCATCCACAAATCTTATACTCAAGGCCAATTGATAACATGCAAAGATGATTTGTCCCAGCAACCCTTCTTTCTCTCTACCCTTTCTTCTTTCTCCTTTATTCTTCTCAATCATCTGCAGGAATCAAATCCGATCACCTCCCTAAACCTGAACATCAAACACTCTTTCTCATCCACATTCCTCCTACACTCCACTCAATCTCATCTGTTTCTTTCAATTGCTTCCTCAACAACCTAGTCTCAACATCACTCTTCTTACCTTTTCCCTCTCTCCCATCATTTAACATCACTCACCCACAAATACCTCCTGTCACTCCTCAAATCTCCCCTCAAATCATCTCAAATCATTGTCTCTTAAACTTGTATTGGATCAATTTGTCTGATTCCAAATTGATGAGAAAACCAAAACCTCATTCTCTCTCATTTAACCCTTTGGCTGAGCTCTGTTTCCTTTTTCCATCTCAATTGACAGTCTTTTGTCCTTTTGTTTGATTTCTATATCTTGTGTTGTGATAAATCATTTTCTTCTTTTCTATATCAATGAGAGGCTAAGGTGGCTTTGCTTCTGCACCTTGATGTTACAAATTAAAGCTTCCCTTCTCTCATTCCACAAAAGCCCCCCCCAGTATCATGGACAAAAGCATGGGTGCAGGCTGAGACTGGGTTTATCTGGCTCAAAATTCATATTATATCAGCATTTTCTTGATAGAAATATGACACAGTGTCCTGCATGAAAGAATTTGGAACTGAAGATATTCTATTCCTCTATAAGTATGTCTTCTTTTAACAAAATACAATTATTCTTTTAAAATAAATTAATTTCAAAAAAGTAAAGAAAGAACTGAAGGCAGAACAAATCTGCCATTTCTAATGATAATATTTGAAAACAATAAAGAAATGAATTCTGCTGAGTTATTTTAGTTTAGATAATGAAAATAACTATATAAAATTGTCAGGAGAACATTCAACTGTTAGCCTTTCTTTTCATTACTTGTTTTACTGTTCTTCTAGTAGCAAAATGAGGGAGAAACTTATATTTGAGAATAGATAATGTGATTCTTATTCTGATTATCACTTGGGTTATACTATTTGCTTCATTAGTCTAATGTATGTTCATCAATAAAGCATAATATTTGGTTATTTTATTTTCTCTTTCTCTATCATAAGAAAAAGGTCAAGAAGTCTATTCTTACTCACCATTTAATGGTGGAAATATTCAATTGATAAGCTTGAATATTGATGTAGACTTGTGCAAGTGTGAACTAGAAAGAGGAACAATGAATTTTCAGAAGAAGAGAATTAAAACTTTTTTGGTGTTTGCTCAATTCCTTCCTCCTCTAATCAAATCACTCAAGACTCACCTAGAGCTCAATTATCGATCCTGATCATCATTCTTATCTAAGTTCATGATGTCAGTGACATCATTTCTTGATTCACAAGCTAAAATCTTGATCTATTCCTGCTCACTTGTGGAACAGCCGAACTCTACACATGATCAAAATTTTATTGATCAGTGTGATGAAGATTGCTTACTCAGGATATCAATCAAGTGATAAACTTACCCAACATTCTCCTCTTTCAAGTTCTAAGACAAGGAATTGCAATCCAAAAAAGTTCTAAGACAAGGAATTGAAATCCAAAACTGCATTCACTTACTATCATACACTCGCTTTAGTATTAGCATCATATAGCTAGGGCCTTGGTTAATTAAAATTTAACTCCCAACCCAAAATTTGCAATTCCAAATCCCAAATTTTGGGCACATCCGGGGGATTGTCTGAGGACAGTCCTCAGGACATCCAGCTCCCTTTTTTTCCTGATTTTTGATCCTCCAACCCCTTTGACTGGCTTGGGAGTTGAATCCCTAGAAAAATAATAAGAAAAATTAATATTGTGACCCCCCCCCCCCAGGGAAGAGTTTGGTAATTAATAATCCAAAACCATATGGGGGTTTGCAACTTGGCGCAGAAAAAGGACAAAAACAAGGGCCGTGAGGATTCCTCCTGGCCCTGAGAGCACACTCTCAATGGCCGGGAGGATTCCTCCCAGGCACTGAGAACCGGGAGGATTCCTCCCAGCCACTGAGAACACACTCTCAATGGCCGGGAAGATTCCTCCCAGCCACTGAGAACACACTCTCAATGGCCGGGAGGATTCTTGTCAGCTGTCGACCTCACGTAGAGATCAAGCTGGACAAAGTCGGTAGTAGTAATAAAATGTATTACTACTATAAGTAAGACTAGATACAAAGAGATAGGGAAAAGAGAAGAGAAGAGAACAAGAGATGGATTTTTTTTATTTCTTTATTTCTTTATTTAAATTTATATTCTTTAAGAATAAGTATAGCCGGTAAAGGAACACCTAGGCCTCTATTCCTGGAAGGTAGGAATAGGATCAATCAGATATATATTGATTGTGATAATTTTTTATCCAGTCAAGAGACATGGATGGGTTATTAAAATCAAACCGAATCAGTAGTTTAAATTTTATGGGATTGTTTTGATTTTATAAATGTTTAATGATTATAATTGATTTTTTTATGAGAGTTAAGATTGGGTGGAAAGGAAAAGAGAAAGGGGAAACAAGAACTATAATATTTCTCTTAATATTGTTTGAGGGAAGAGAAGGCTTACTTCAAGGAATCCGGAATGGTATATCAAGCTAGGAAAAGTAAAAGTTTTAGGTTATCGTTTGAGGCTGATCTAGGGAGGAAAGAATAGAACACAAGTCAATCAAAATCTTTTAATCTCAAAGCTAATCATGTAGACAATTATTAAGAAGAGGATTAGATAGAGTAAGACAAACAGAAAGATTTGTTTTCTGGTGAGTTACACTAAGTAATTACCTTTTTATTTTGTTGTCTCAAAAGTAAGTATGAGAGGTAAGAAGAATTCTTTTCGCTGAGGGGGGAGGAAGGACTATTCAAGTCTCAGGTGTTTAATACTTTGTACCAGTCCTTCTTCTAAAGTTTGTTGTTGTTTGCATTGCCTTGATTTGATCATCTTGCAAGGCTGAAGTCATTCTTTTGAAGATTGCTTTCAATATTCAAAGGATTTGGTTTTCCTTGATTAATCTTAATTTCAAGAGATCACATATCTGTGAAACCTCTAACATGTACGTGAAATCTTCATTATTTTCAATTTTATTAATTTTTATTTGTTTTAATTGTTTTGTGAAACCTTTAGGACATGTCAACATGTCTCTAAGGTTGACAATTCTTCCCAGCCACTGAGAGCACACTCTCAATTGCCGGGAGGATTCCTCCCAGCCACTGAGAGCAAACTTTCAATGGCCAGGAGTTTACCTCTTAGACACTGAGAATTTACACTCTCAATGGCCAGGAGTGTACCTCATGGTACACTCTCAGCGGCCAAGAGGACTCTCAATGGCAAAGAGGTACACTCTTGGCCATTGAGAGGTTACACTCTCAGTGACTGTGATGATTTCTCTCAGCCATCAAGAGCAGCACTGGACTGCTACGCTACGCTTTTTGTCCAAAAAGTGTTAGCGTAGCGGTCCTTTTTGTGCACCAGATTCTTGTAGTGTTAGCAAAAGTTAGCGACTTTTTGCTACGCTATGCTGCGCTACTGGCCGCTACACAGCCAAAACAACGCTAACCAGCGCGTTAGCGCAGTGTAGCAGGCCCTTTTTCAGGGCCTGGAAGTGGAAGAATTCTGCTACACTACACTAGAGATGTCACTTGGCACCTGCCAGCAGGTACCTGCTACAACTTCAAACAATTAACTGGACACCTCCAGCCACCAGCTGTGCATTTGAAGGATGTATTACTATCCAAGAAACAGTTCTGAATGCTCCACCTTCAAAGCTGGTAGGTGTAAGTGCCCAGGGCACCTTCTGAAAGTGTGGAAGGTACCTGCTGGCGGGTGCCAAGTGACATCTCTACACTACACTAAAGTTGCATGGAATTCCGCTACGTTATGCTGCACTAACCGCTACGGTTAGCGTAGCTGGCCCAGCGTTGTCAAGAGTGTATACTCTCAAAAGTCAAGAGGGTTCCTCTTGGCCATCAATAGTGTGCCATCTGTGTACACTCTCAACAGCTGAGGAAACCCTCTCCCATCAAGAATGTACTTCTTGGCCTCAGCCGTTGAGAGTGTACCTCTCAACCTCCGGGAGGCTTTCTTTTCCATTGAGAGTGTACGCTCTCATGGCCAAGAGTATTTATCTTGGCTATTGACCTGCCGTTAAGAGTGTATCCTCTCAGTGGCTGAGAGGTGCACTCCCAGCCTATGAGAGTGTGCTCTCAGTAGTCAAGAGGTACACTGCCAGAAGTTGAGAGCACACACTCTCAATGGCAGAGAGTTACACTCCTGGATGTCAAGAGTGGTCTCACAGTTTCAGGGAGGAATACTCCTGGCTGTTGGGAAGGTCTTTTTCTTTTTGGCACCAACTTGCAAACCCCCATGGGGTTTGGAGTATTAAATCCCAAAAACCTGTGGGGGGGGGTCCCAATGTTACTTATTATTGTTTTTTTAGGGAGTCAACTCCCAAGCAATTCAAAGGGTTGGAGGATCTACTCCCAAACAAGGAGGGGAAAATAGGGGGCTGGATTCCCTGAGAAGCCATCTTCAGACAGTCCTCATGACATTGTGGAAAGAAGAG